GTGGTGCAAAAAAGGTTGGGGACCGCTGCCTTAAGCCAGTCATAAGCGCCAAGACTATGACAGTTATGGTTAAACATATTATGACATTTATGACATTTATGATGGAATAATATGAAATTCTAAATAATGTCAACTTTTCTTTTACCAAAGGATAAATGACAACAGTCATAAACACTCCTTTGTGTTTATGACTGTGGACTAAATTTGTTATGACTAAATATCACAAAAGCGGAACATTTAATAAACTGTAAAAACACGTATCCTTAAAATAAGATTTCTGTAAAGCTCATCTTTCATTTCCGCTCACATCATCTCTGCTGCTGTCCCACTGGTCGCATCACTCTAAATAGCCACAGCAACCACTCAAAATAAGACGTTTTAATTTGAGCAAGGCTGACACCCTTAAGCCCAGTCTGGCTTTTCTTTTTACTGGGCTAAGCGGTAAACAGGCAATGTGTCACCCCTTAATTGAGTCACAGAGACTTTTTCGAAAATTTTCCTTTGACCTGTTGGTTGCACTTGTGCGACTTGAGGTTTCTTTAATTATGCCCAATAAAAAGAACTAGGTTGCATGTGCAACCAAATTGCACTCTAGGGCCATTATTCAGTTAATCACTCTTTAGTAGTTTAGTACTTTAGATAGTTAAGAGAAAAAACAAACAAATGCTGATAGATTATTTATTTGCAAAAATCCTTACAGAGTACTGCCTTCCATGTCTGATCTTGGTTCTGTTTGGTTCCTTTTCCTTCATGCAGCACAGGCTGTTCTACACAGACCAAATCACGCCTCTGCCTCTTACTAGCAGCCGAAACTAAAACCAGATTCTTCAATCTACCGGTAAAAAAAATAACAAATGGTAAATATGTCACCATGTAAACATGTTTATACTGTAAACGACTGTTGATTTTCCTTAAAACAGTGATATAAAAAAGGCGTTATAACAGTACAGACCATGTACCATTTTTACGTATGTTTATAAAATTTCCTGTTGTTTCATTTTCCCCACGCCGGTCAAAATTCCCTGTACTATGCTTTGGTATTTTAAAAGGTATATAATAAAGTCCTTATTTCTAAATCTTATTCTTGTTATTAATCATTCCTCCTTTTGGCTCACTACTACAGTTCTCATCTCTGCTGTTGTCTTTTTGATCCTATAAAACAATTCACTTCTCTTCCTCCATCTCACCTTTTCTGACATTCTTTCATCAAATTGATTGATAATCCTTCTTCTCTCAAATTCACTAATACACATTGTAAAGTTCTTCCTCTAGTTGATTGATTGCAACCTTTTTGATCACAAAGCAACAGTGGTGGAAAGTAACTAGTTATATTTAAGACTATGGCCATGCATACAGGCTAAATACTATTTTAAAAGCTGTAAACATTATAACTCTTATCTCCTGCACAAAGCGAGGGTTGCAGATTCCTCATCTAACAGGTAAAAATTGGGATCCTGTCTTAATATGACGGAAGCTTAAAGCTAACACCTACCTAAATTCTAGTAATCCTCGCCTTTTTGGATACCCAAATAGAAAAGCAAATAACTAACTGTAAGCCCAAATTACATGTGTGATACACCATTTGAAAGCTAACAACTTCTAGTTTGAAAATATAAATGAAAATAGTATGACTAAAACACAGTTGAACTGCAGCAGTTAAAACAT